GATGGACGTTCAGCCCTGAGATTTTGATGCACCTCTGCTGCACAGTTTTGCAGAGGGGTTGGAAAAAACCACACCCTGGTAATTGTTACAGAGAATAAGAGATTTTGGGGGTAAAAGAGATTGTTCTCTCATGGTGACTTCCCATCCCTCTACCCCAAAGCTTGTTTGTGGTGCACAGGGTGTAGCAGATACTGCCTAACGCTTGTCCAGAAATCACATTTCAGCTTGTCCACTCTGCAATGGTCATCCTGGTGTTTGGTTTCCAATTTCTTGTGCTGCAGTTGGGAAAATGACACCTTCAGGAGATGAAGTGTTGTGCATCAGACTTCACATAACACCGGAGAGAAGTTCTCCTTGATGCCAGGAGATGAGGAGCTGTTTTCTCTCGCAGTTTTCTTCCTGGGTCTGTGACTTTCACCTTCAGGTGTGGTTGTGTGGAGTCAAAGCATTCTGGAGATGTGGATTCTGCTCACAGTTCAGTTCCAGACAGGTTTCCTGGGCAAGATTAAGTCTGAATGAGTTTCTTAAAAGTGCTGTAGCACCTTTGGACTGCAAAAATACATCATAGAGATGGTAATTTCTTACTGATGCTCTTGCTTCTAATGGCTGTAGTTTTGCAGGGTGGTATCTTTTAGTGGGTTATTCTCTGCTGCTCTAAGGCTGCCCTCGGTTTGCATAACAGCAGATGAGATGCTTTCTTGAAAGTGTTGTGCCCTGAACCTGCTGTGAGTCAGTGAGCAGCTTGCACTGAGGCTAAGATCTGGCTGGTGGCATAGCTCAGCCCCTTTGGGAAATCCACTAACTTGTACACATTGTTTATGTTTCATCCAGCATTAAGTCAGTGTTAATAAGCTAATTAGATTAGTGAGTTTTCTGTTCATGCTTTCTATGACTTTTAAATATCAATGACTTTTTGTTTTACTTTGAAATTGTTTAAATGCACAGAACAGTCTATATAATTTTTGGTTCTTAGAAATCTACTTTTCTTTTGTGTGATTATCTCAGGATGAGAAGTTTCCAATCCTGCAGGTTTAGGATTGAGTTTTAAAGCAATGGAATGTAAAAAAATCTCACTTAGATTTTTTTTTTACTGGATCTAAAACTATTCCAGAGATATCAATTAATAATAATTTCTGTAATCATCATCTGTGTAGATTAGGGTCAGCATACTGGTTTTGTCAATTGGCAGATACCTTGAGAAGGAATCCATCAGAGAGACTCACCCAGCATCAGGAGACATGCAGCATTTCCACAGAACACTTGAATCCAGGCTGTTAATTTCCCTGAGGATTCACCATGTGATGTTCTGCATTGCTGGAAGTGTTCACAAAACGTGTGGATCTGGCACCTGAGAACATGGCTTAGGAGTGAGCATGGTGGTGGGGCTGTGTTGGTGGTTGAACTCCATGGTCTGAGAGGTCTTTCCCAACCCAAATGACTCCGTGATAAGTAATATATAAAATATATGAGTATTTTAAAGGAGATTAACTCCACTTTAAGGGAATGTTTTATAACCCTGTCCATCCCTTCAGTGAATCAATTGATTTATTTTTTTTTCATCCTGCTAAATTCTGTGAAAGGTAAAATTACTTGTCGAAGTGATAATTATTTTTTGCCATTAAAACTTACCTAGTTTTTCTAGGTTCAGGAAGCAAAAATCTAGTCAGTGCTTATATGTAGAAATTTGCATAGCATATGAAAAATGAGATGTGTAAAGAATTTTATTCTCATTTTTCAAGCCATGCCTATGTAACTAAGCACCCCTGGGCAGCTTTTAGTGTTCATCCACTGTTTCTGATAAGGTGGGTCCTGCTCCCAGCGCCGTGTGGTGTCCGCAGTGAAGGCTGGGGGCAGAGCTGGATGGGTTTGTATGGGCAGGAAGGAGGCAGAAAGCTCTTGTCTCTGCCACAGAGCAGTTTTTGGGACACAAGAGACAGGACAGGGCTGGTGTGCCCCGTGGTCAAAGGGCTGGGAATGTGCAGGGGGACCAGAGCCAGCATGGCTATCTCACCTGCCCCTCTGCAGCCCTGGCAGGAGGATGCTCTTGGTGCTTGCTGTGAGCTGACACTGAGCACTGGGGCTCACATCCTGAGTCAAAGTGTGGAACTCTCCAAGCGCTAGCAGCTAATCCAGAGGGAGCTAGATGATTTGGAGGATTAGGGAAGGGACTTAAGGGTGACTTGCATAGCCACAGTGCTGTTTTGGAGCTTAGCTGAATTCCACAGAAATTAGGGAAATGTCTGAGTTCATAGGTTGAGTTCAGTTCTCCTGTTCTGGTGGGGAAAGCATGAAAAGTCCAATACTAGCCTTGATTCCTGGATCTCTGAGGTACAACTGCTAAGGATACTTCACACAGAAATAGGTGTGGGCCAACACCAAAATAAACTCTTTAAACAGCTGTAGAAGAATGTTCCGTGGAATTGCCTCAAAATACTTGAATCATGTTGCTCATCCAGTTCTAAAAGTACTGGTCATATGAGTCAGTTTTAGACTTCAGATATCTGCAGAAATCTGGGAAGTATTGTGATCTGGGATTTTAGCTAAGCTAGGGGGGAGGGAGAGGTGTACTAATGATTTAGAGTCAGGAGGAAAATCGGGTGTTCACATCCTGAGGTGGTTGTGCATTTCTGTTCATCTGACTGTCAGTTGGTTAAATGTTAATCGTCTTCTGCAGGATAAAAATCAACATGCTTTGTGCTTGAATATTTGACCTTTTAAACAGTCAGTGGTTTGGATTCAGGATATATTCATTATCCCTCATCTCCCCAGGTTAGATGGAAAATGCAGAAAACTAATTAGTGGATAGATCAGTAATGTCAGAATTCCATTCAGCTAGCATGCACTGTAAAACACTGACTTGCCAAAGTCTCTGCAGGGATGGGTTTCTGGGAGACAGTGAGAGAAGAGAATTGCTAGTGAAAAGGACTTAGAAAAAGGAGAGGTACAAAATCCCAGTTTTTTTTTTCTTGCCATTTTATGTTGCAATGTTTGTGGAGGCCAAAATCTGAGAGGGGTTTAGAATGAGGTGGTAAGTGATAGAGAAGTACGTGAAGTGAACCATTTTCTGCACCCTGAAGACATTACATCTTGTAGGATTTGGCCCATCAGGAGTGGATTTTCCTGTGATTTCTAAGAGATTTGGGATTCCAACCCGGATTTTAAAAAGCAAAGGTCACTTTTGTTTGGTGTCGGATTACCACCGTGCCAGGAATCAGCATTCCTACCTGGGTCCTGCTTGAAGTTTCTCTGAGCTGTTGGACGAGCTGTTCAGTTTGCTGTGGTAATCCATTCCTCATCTGTAAAGTCAGAAGGAGAATGCATCCCTTCTCTTGTTCTTGTGTCTGTTGGTACCTGTCTAAAGGATCACTTAAGCTGTGCCTTGCTGTGTAGGTTTACTGACTGATCCAGTAGGAAACCAATCTGAAACTCCTGGATGCCAGTGTCTGTAAGTGATAGCATTGTCCTCGTGATGTTCAGCTCAGAGGGATGCCAGTAGCAGTTACATCCAGTATTATGTGTGAGGATGCCAAGACCCCCAGGGTGTGCAGGGTTAGCTAATGATGCTAGTGTAAATAAGACCCAAGCACTAATTGCTGGGATGTACATACTAATAATCAGGTTTCTGGTTGGAGTGAACAAATTGTGTTTATCCATGCATGATTTTAGTAGTCATGCATACAGTTTACAAATCTCAATCTTCTGGCTGTAAATATCAGTAGGAATCTGCTGAATTCCATCAGGCATTATTTTTATTTATTATTAGATCAGCCATTTCTTTTGCTTCTGGGCATATCTGTGTAACCACGTGAGCTCCAGTGGAATAATGTGCTTACAGAAGAGGTAGGATGTGTCTACCAAAAGTCTGTCTTCCTTTTGTTAGTGTCTTAAGAGTAAAACAAAATGTAAGGTTGTAAAAGATGACCTGTTGGGGTCTTTTTTTGGACTCTAGATGGCTCAGCTGTTAGGCAGAGCTTCCCTTCTCTCACCTCATTACACTAGAGGCTAAGATGTACCTAAGGCCTTCCAGGGGCTGAAGCTGGAAACTGAAGGATAGACATTTGACTGCACAAATTCTCTACACTCCAAGTCCTGCCTGAGTGCTGATGTAGCATCTGATGGACCCCACTGGGGCCCTGCCCAGCCCAGGGGGGATGTGCTCAGAGAACCCTTTTCCTATAGGTGCTCTAGGCCATTTTATCCCCTTTGCTGTGGGTCAGTTTTGAGGCTGAGCAGACCTGTTAGTGGGACTGTTAGTTAGAGGCTCTTGCTGTCTTTTGAATAATCAGTCATAATTGTTGTCATTAGCAAGAGGTAAACCAGGTTTTCTTTACTATACAGCACTTTCTTTACTATACAGCACTTGTTACAGCCCCTTGCTGTGTCCCACTGGAACCGTAACAAAATGGGATGCTTAGAAAGGCAGACGAGGCACTCTGCTGGGCCTGGCTGCACTAGGATTGCTGTATTAGAGCTCTCAAAGCCTGGAGCATAGAAGCTGTGAGTACCAGAGGAATCATTTTCCCCTGTCTGCCAGCAGTCCTGTGCTGGCAGCAGGTGCCGCGAGGTTTTCGCGGTGAGCGGCGGATCCGTGTCGCGTGCGGGCGCAGTCAGCGCTCCGAGTCCTGCCCGTGTCCCTCTGGCAAGCAGCAGATGGAAACACTTCTCTAGCACTCTTGGAGCAATCCCTTGTGATGGTGCTTGTAAATTAGTGCCGTTTCCCCTAGCTCACACTGCTTTTGATAAGGAATCAAGAGCAACTCCAATACTTTCTTTGATGCATTAAATGACTTTTATCCCTGCAGTTGTTTTGTCTTCAGAATATCCATGTGATTTATATGTCTTTTTCCTGTGGCTGAACTGCACTGCACTGGAAAGAAACTCGTTTGGGAAGTCCTTGCACGTTTGGTGTTGGATTTTGCTGTGTCATGAGTGAGTTGGCAGCTGCAAGGTCTGTAAACCGATTTCCATGTCAGTGAACTAACATAATAATGTGTTTGCAGGGTCAAGCTGTTGCTCAGCTCTGTTCAACCATTCCCAATGTTACTGTTTTTGGAACAGCTTCATCTTTCAAACATGAAGCAATCAAAAACTCGGTAACTCACCTGTTTGACAGAAATGCAGACTATGTTCAAGAAGTAAAAAGGTAATCTTGTGTTTTCCTGAGTAAGGTCTGTGTAGTGTCTGGCAAAATACCATGAAAGGCACCAGGCTGATCATATTTCCAGGACGATTGCATTTGTGAGTTTGGGAGCTGTAGTTTATCCCAGATATTCCATCTGTCCACTAGGGACAAGATAGCAAGCATCTCCCTATTTCTTTATAAGCAACAGAAGCTTTTTTTAGTCCATGTTCCTACTTGGACATCTGTTGCAAGCAAAGTAAATCAAGTATAAACACTAAAGGTCCTAACAGAAGGATGTCCTTTGCCTTCATTTGCATATGTCCTTACTCACTGTAATGCACCAAATAAGCTGTTTTCAGTGGGTTTGTAAGGTATCCAGGTTTTGGAGTTCTTTGGTGTGTTTTTATCCCGTGCTAGGCATTGATATCAGAGCACATGATGTCTGCATTAATTTCAGATCCTTAGATTCGGTTGGTTTGTATTCAGATAAAAATCATCCTGTTGCCTTTTGAGGTCATCCTGTGTGTTCCTATTTATGTGCTTTCAGAGACTGTGTTTTTCAATTTGTCTAACTGTTTTTAGATATTGATGTTGATGCAGGTGGCAAAACCTCTGTCTGAGCTGTTAGCAGCTCCAGCTGGTGGTGCAAGTGAAAGCAGAGTGTCCTGCTGCTGCCTCTGGAGCACTCCCAGGGGCTAAAGAGAGTGTTCGTGAAATGACCCATCACAAAGGATGGTTTATATTGAAGGAAAAGTTTCCCATATGGGAATTTTCACCCAAAAGAAGATCTGTCGAGCAGATGATCGGCCACTTCCTTACAGCACAGAATTGTAGCACATTTCTTCAGCCCCTCAGTGGCTTTTCTCTTGGGGAAGGACACACACCTGAGTGTTTTGCTGCCCCTGGAGAATTGCTGCAGTGAGATGGAGACTGAGCTCTAGCAATCCTCACTTGACAAGCAAGAGGAGCTCCTGCAAACGTGGACCAGAGTTCAACACCCGGTCTGATCTAAGTGGATATGTGATGGGGGAGCAGGTGGAGGAAGGTGTAGTTGTTTGGTTTGGTGGACATTAGCTGTTTGATTGTAAAGGGTTTTATTCATTTTCAGTGAAGGCTCATCCAGTGAATTAGCTGTTTGATTGTAAAGGGTTTTACTAATTTTCAGTGAAGGCTCATCCAGTGGCCTCAGTAGAAACAATTCATTGCCCCACGTGTGGCAGCAGTACCAGGGAGTGAAGTTGCCTGACTGTTGTCGTTTGTGAGCAGTGGATGTCTGAGCCTCACCTTTGTTCTGCGAGGAAAAGGAAAGCTGTATTACAAGCCATAAAGCTTTACCTCTTTCCAGACTCCTGATTGCAGAAGGCATGGTCAGCAGGAGCTAACTGCTGTCCTGGGGTGTTATTGTCTGCCCCTTAAACCTTTGGGAGTGTCCAGGCTGCAGTTTTCTTGTGCCATCTGCACCAGTTAGTTGCATAATAAAAGAGTTAATCAAGAATTCACTCCTGCTTGGGCTGTTTGCTTGGGGAGGAGAAGACTGTTAGGCTTAGACCAGCCTATTGATCAAATTGTGCATGCTGATATTTTGCCAGAGAAAAAGAACAAAATCAGGATATTTAGATGGGGTTTTTTTCTTCATCATGCTGACATTGCATTGGCAAAGCTTTGGGAAAGTTAGAAATATGCAAACTGTGTATTGAAACTGTATAAATACTTTCTGCTTTCTACAGTATGGCCTGATTGTATCCTTAGGACTCGATTTCTAGCTTCTGGTGACTTCTCTTGTTGCTTGATTTAACTCTTTGCTGACATCTAGTTGATGCAGATTGTGAAATAGAAGACTCCCTTAAGTAACTTTACAACTCATTTTGTCTGAGAAGAACTAGGATAAGAAGATCTGTTTCTATATGAATTCAGAAAAGTAATGTTAGAAGATGTGAATACGAAAAATATCCTTTTTCTCTATACTACTCATTTGCCAAAAAAATTAGCATTCTCTAGGATTTGCATTCACTCAAAAAAACCCTTTACATCCATGTCCTGTTTTTTGATAATATGATTTTACTGAAAGCCCTCACAAAGGAGGAAAGGATGGTTTCCCACTCTTCTGAGCCCCAGAGGTGTGAGTTGGCTAGCCTGACAAACTTGCATTCTGCCCCAGAAAGAGTTTGAAATGTCTTGATGAGGATGGAGTTTCCATGTAGTCCCAGCCTCAGAATCCTTTCTAAAGTACCTGCAAAAGATTAGTATTGTGTTAGCAATCAGCCTGTGTCCTGCTGGCTGACAAAGCCTGTGCTTCTTACTGCAAATTAAGTTTTTTTCTCTTGCTCTGTAGAATCTCGACAGATGGAGTAGATATTGTTTTGGACTGTCTTTGTGGAGAAAATACCGGGAAAGGCCTCAGTCTTCTCAAACCACTTGGGACTTACATTTTATACGGTGAGTGGGAAAAGACAGGTACATACTTCAAAACTAAAGCTTTGCAGTGCTGAAAATCATCCCTTCTGCTCCTTCCCGAGCCAGTGACTGCACGATGTGCTTTCTCAATTTGACCATTTCAAGCTGAGGATTTTAGTGTAGCTGAGCATGGACTGAATCACCGAGAAACAATAGGGAATACAAAGAAACTCTTGTAGAAAAAGATAAAATCCAAAAGTGAGACTGAACATGTATTTCAGGTTGTTAAACATTATTGGGATGATGCAGAAGTGTGGGAGACAGTTTGGATCTCTCATTCTACACACCACAGGAATCATGGTGTGGCCAAGGAAACTGTAACATAGTTTTGTGGGAGAGAATCATTGGTAAAGGTGCAGAGAAAGGGGCACCTGTGTGTTGGGAGCGTGCCAGAGACAAAAGGCATGGCACTGCAGAGAAGAGAGAGCTAGAGAAGAGTTTTGTGGCAAGGAGCTTGGTTGCATTTCACCTGTGCCTGGCTTGGGCAGATTTGATGAATCTTAGTGTCATCTCAGGGTTCCTGTGACCTTGTAGGGCTCAGTCGCCTTGGCCTCTCTGTTATTTATTCCCAGAGTATAAGGATTTCTGCTAACCCCTTTTGAATGTGGATGGTTGTGTTATTTTAAAATGTGAATCATGGGAATTATTTTGCACATGATAAATGTTCTTGTATTGCGTCTTTTACAGGTTCATCCAACATGGTTACTGGCGAGACAAAAAGCTTCTTCAGTTTTGCAAAATCAGTAAGTGTCCCAGGGCTGTGCTTCTGCTCTTCCCTCTTGCTTCACCGTGTTCTGTTGCATTTTCATCTCTGTCGTTTTCATTTATGTCTACTGGGTCGTTCCTTCTGATGTTGCTGAAGAGAGTGATTTTGTGACCTGTTTTCTTTTGGCAGGACAGCTAGGCAGGAGTTGGACCTGCAGTGCCTCTTGAAACTGTTAGCTGTCAGGCATACACCTACTGTACAGCTAACTCGGGACTGCATTGTTTGTTTATGGCAGAATATCTGATCCATGGGTATGAATATTTGTACCCTGTAGGTTCCTCGTGTCTGAAAACACTGTCAGGACAGTGCAGTGAGTTACAGGAGATGTATCTCTCAAGGTGGGGTCTGTGTCCAGTCATTTCCAGCTTTTCAGAAGTTTGTCTCACACAGAAATGGATTTTTCTGTTCTGCATGTTCATTTCAAGTGACATCAAAGAGATGATGATTTGTTTCTTAGTTGATGATATCAACAAATTCAGGGTTCAAATGTTAATTTATTTTCTTCAGCTTACTGCAACAAAAATCTGTGCAGAAATCCTGGAGATCAAAAAAAAGGACAAACAAATAAACTGCTAGTGAGAAATAAGTTAACCAGGAGTGAAAGTGATTCCTTGATACAAGAAAAACAGAGGGAAAAGTCTTGTCTGAAGATCTGTCATATGATCTTTCTGTCAAGGGCTCATTTACAGCTTCCAGCACCAACCCCTTCCCAGGATGAATTGGCTTCAGAAGTCTCTGTGTGGTTGAAAACAAGATAAATCAGAGACCATAGCAAGGAGCTGTTCTTTGCCTCCTACATTTTCTTAATGGTTGTAGTGGGACAATCCTTGTTATTGTCATGTGTTTGTGAACTAAAGCAAGATAATCTTTGCTCCTCACCCTTCTTGCTGTCAATGGCAGCATATCCAGGTGCATCCAATGTGAAGGGTAAGTTGGCCCATTGAAATAAATTTTGGCTGAATTGCTTTTCAGACAGTGCTGGTGTTTATTGACTGAATAAATAGGAATAAATTGAATGAATTATAAAAGCATATAAAATGTTGCCTAAAGTATAACTAGTTTCTTTATGTAATTATGCTGCAAAATTAACTCATCAAAATTGTATGAAAATTCTCATTAAAAATTTACCCACTCCAATAAAATTTGCAGGGAAGTGGCATCCCAGCCTCAATGATGCCCTTGGGCTAAATGAGATAAAACCCCTTTTGATGTCCCGAGGCTTGCTCAAGTGTCACAAACACAGGAATGGGTGTGAAGTCGCTGGGAGCTGATCTGCAGTGCCTGGTTGCCTTAGTTGGAGAGAAGAGCAGTAGTCAAGAGTTGCCTGTGTGGCTGTCTGCAGATAACAACCAAGGATGGCAAAAGGAAGGAGGGAGGTCCAAACTCCTTCCTTACAGCCCCACATCTGTTCCCCATCCTCCTGGCACCCTGACCTCGAGTCTGTGTTTGGTTTCTGCCTGTCGCTCAGCTGAGCTCTTACTTCTGTGCCTGGTCATTAATCAGATCCTCCAGAGCTGACTGATGAGCTGTGTACCTCACCTGCCCAGGCAGTTTTCTTGTGAACTCTCCTGTGCATGTCTTGAAAAACGCTTTTCTAACCATGCTGTTGTTTGTTGGTTTCCAGTGGTGGCAGGTTGAGAAAGTAAATCCTATCAAGCTGTACGAGGAGAACAAAGTCATTGCTGGATTTTCCCTGTTGAATCTACTTTTCAAACAGAATCGAAGTGGCCTGATCAAGAGTGTGATAGACAAACTCCTGAATCTATATAACAGTAAGATCATCAAGCCTGTGGTTGATTCATTATGGGCTTTGGAAGAGGTAGGAACATAATTTCTTTACCCACTTTGAAATTTCTGAAAAATACACACTTTAGATGTAAAATCAGGTTTAAACACGTTTTGTAGTTATTAATGTGTTGTGCTTTTAGTTTGTGCATGAGTTGTCTCCAGAGCCCCTGCTACTCAGAAACTCCAGGATCCAGAGTTACCCACACATTTCTCTAATACATATTTCTACTGAAAATACTGCTAATAAATGTGGCTTATCAAACTTAGAAAATGGTGCATGAAACATGTACCAAACACGTGTGGAGTGAAAGGCAAACATTATGATTGAAAATAGCTTAGATTTTTTTTCTCAGAGCAGACTGTAACAGGTAAGCTTTAGTTTCAGTGCCATAGTTGTGCTGGCAAACCTGGAACCTGCAGGTTTTCAGGAGGTTACTGAAAAAATACCAGTCAAGTCAGAACTCACTTAAGTTACAATTGTGGACTGTGGGTTTTTTTGGTTCTTTTTTCCCCTTCTAACTACTCAGGTCTCTTTAAAGACATATAAAGAGACTAATTGCTCATAGCCTGAGCACTTATCAGCCCCATCCAAAGCTCTTTCTGAGACCTTTAGATTTAAGATGCTGATTAAGAAACAGAGTTATTGTTGGAGCTGTGAACAGACATTACCATGTGAAAAAACATGGTTCTGTGGTACTGCCAGATGAATATGGTTTATGTGTTTGTGAAGTGACCTGACACATCTCTTCAGATGCATGATCTGTAATGTCTCTGCTGAGTGTGGATGGTGTCTGTGTCGTGGTTTAACCCCAGCAGCAGCCAAGAACCAACAGCCAATC